GATCCAGCAGGGAACAAACTCATCAGCAAGAACGATTCCCATTGTCATGCAAATGGGCTCCAATTAATTGGTGAGCTAGCAGGGCCCCGATCCGAAGGGAAGGAGCACCCAGCGCCCCAGCACCCGGAGCCGCCTCCCAGCCCCGCGTGAGACCAGCTCCTTGCCCCCCTCGGTCCCCCTTTACCGCCCGCTTCAAGGGCTGGGGATCTTCTCCAGCCTCAGTTTACCCCGGCCTGGCTCTCCCATCTCCTGGCCTTGCGGACTTGTGCCCAGGGCTAGATCCCCATCGGGGGCCACCGGACGTAGACACGCCACTCACCCGTATCGGGAGGTCCCTGGAGACCCCCCTCGCCGGGGCTGACCGCGCGCTAGTCCCCCCCGCGCCAGCACAGCCGTTCTCCAGACGGGGATTTAATCAGAACAGCTGTCCCACGGGGACCGTTGTGCTGCCCCCCAGCTCCAACCACTAGACTCTCCTCTCCTCTCCTCTCCTGCCAGCTCCAGGGGCGGGACCCAGCAGACCCGGCTCCCAGCGCCCCCAACCCTTTGACCCCCACGTCTGGGGCGAGACCGCAGGGCGAGGGGGTTGCGGTTGGGGTGAACAACTCATCCGAGCCCACGGCCCATCGCGGGGATGGGGGCGTCCCGTCCAGCCCCCTCCCCTGGGCAGGATCGGACCGGCTCCGCCAGGTCTCCACCCCCACCCTGCCCTTCAAAGCCCCCGGGGATGGAGACGCCACCTCGGGGCAGCCACCGAGAAACTTCCTCCTCGTCTCCAACCTGCATCCGCCAGGATCCTTGTCCCGTCCCCTGCACGCTTGCCCACCTCCTCTCTGAAATGCCGGCCCCAGGACCCCGGGGAGGCCTCGCCAGGGCTGGGTCCAGGGGAATCGCGGCCCTCGGCTTGGCTGCGAAGAAGCAGCATGTGTGTCCGTCCCCCCCCACCATTCACCCGGAAGCCACCGCTGAAATACCCTGCTCCAAAACCATCCGAGACCGAGACCGAGACCACCGCCCAGGGGAAGTCCGCAGCTCCCCAGTGCCCGCTCCCTGGGCGCGTCTACATGAGACGCTTACTGCGCGGTACCCAAACCCCGCGCTACCGCTCTGCTGCCAGCGGCATCGGGCTACTGCGCAGGAAGCCTCGCTAAAACCCCGCGCGCCGGCGCTGCCGCGCATTGATTTAGCGCTTGGTTACCCAAGTACTCGACTTAATGCGCATTAACGCACATGTAGACGCGCCCACTGGGGACCCTTCACCCAAAACCTCAGCGCTGGGCTCGGCTGCCTTCAAAAAGGCCAACAAACATTGGGACGAGGCAGAAGGGAATCGTGAACAACGCGGACAGTATCGCGAAGCCCCTTTAGCGACCAGCACTCGAACACGGTACCCTGGTGAGGTCCCCGCACCGCCGAGAGGAGACAGGAGACGGCAGCGAGGGGGATCGGGGCCACGAGGCCAGGAGAGAGGTGTGGAGAGGGGACGGGTTCCCACCCTACTAAGCGGGGAAGAGGCAGGCCCAGGGGTCGATTCCTGGCTGCTCCTCGCCAGACAGGGACGAGGGTCGCGGCACGAGACGAGCAGGCCGGCAGCGTAACGCCGACACCAGGACAGTCCTTCCCCCGTGGGGGGCGAAAGGGGGGAGCGCAGAGTCCAGGCCGATCCAGGCGGGGGCTGGGCCCCTGCTTTGGGAAGGGGCATCGGGGAAGACAGCAGCACGGGGCACGGCCTCAGGGTCGCCACGTTGTGGACCCTCGATGGCTGCGACAGGGAGAGGAAAACCCCTGCTCGCCCCGTCCAGCACCGCTCTCGGCCGCCCGCCACGGGACGCAGGAGCCCGGGCGGCACGGACCGACGGCTCTTGCGTTACGTGTGCCCCGTCGCTGCCCGCAGGCGGTGAACCCTCGCGGGGTGCGGAGAGGGCACGGGGGTCTGCAGGCCGGGAAGAGGCAGAGAAGCAAAGTGCAAGCGTGGGGACCCCCGTGCCCTCCCTCCCCGGC